GTACAGAGAGACTAAGTAATTTGCCTAAAGTCACTTAGCAGGTGAGTGAGAGCCTGGGGTCTGGAGTGAGCCTGAGTATGACTTGAGAGCCCTGCTCTTTGGGGCCCTGCTATCTGCGGGTCGAGCTTGGGCAGCTTCCACCCCGAGTACCCTGAGCCTACATGGCACCTAAACCTCGCTGTCACCTGCTGGGAAGTCGGCCTGGACACCAGAGCTGGCTGGCTGCGCCTGGGCCGGGAGCATTTCACGAGTGGAGAGCAGCTTCACCCTGGACATTCAGGCCTCCTCAGGGCCCGAGGTGGAGCAGTGCCCCATGCAGCCGGCATCCTTGCTGTTCCAGCCAGGCAGCACGAGGTCATCGTTAGCTCCATCACGCACCGGCAGTATGATCTCGGGGTGGACAGTGGTTAGGGACACAGGACCGGGGGCGCAACCCTTGGCTTTGCAACCTTTGTGTCCTAAGTCACCTCTCTGAAGCTCACTCCCGCATTAATAAGTGAGCATAATAACCTCTGCCTCGCAGTGTTGTTTTACAAGGAAAGGAAGATACTCCGGTTGGGTAAGAGAGATGCCTGGGGCGCGAGCTGAAGGAAGCCAACTCTGCACTTGCAAGACGCTGAGTGAGTGTCCCTTAGACGCGCACTCTGGGCGGTGATCTCGCCTCACCCTCCCTGACAGCAGGAGAGGGCGTGGCACCCAGCTGGGCTCTGAGGAAACACTGAATAACTGTCAGCTGCTGTTGAGCAGCGGTCACACGGCCTTTAGGGATTTGTTACCTGCAAAATGATACCGAGAATGAGAGTACGGAGCGACTGTATCTGGGCTTGTGGGTCCACATGGAATACGACAAGTGAGGCCGCTGGCCTAGGGGCCTGGCACGCAGCGAGCGCACACGCCGCGCAGTCCCAGCCCTTTCCGCAGCCTCAACCCTCTGCCTTGGGCAGGCATCGTGGGTGCCTGGAAGTGCCTGGCAGCCATGGTTCCTTTAACAGGACACCGCCAGCTCTGACAACAGTCTTCGGATGTATCCTTCAGTCTGAAAAATAGCTCTGAGTATAAGCATTTCTGCCCGATTTCTTGCAGCTGACACACAATGCTGACTTGAATACAGCTGATTTTGAAAGGAAAGGGTTGCACAAAGACGTGTTTCCTCCCTCAGAGCTCTCTAGGGAGGGCTCTGACCCTGCGGCTTGGGGTTACATGGAATACAGGTGTGGGGGACAGGGGAGGTCTGTGATCGCTGCTACCAGTTCCCAGCTGCCAGGCAGGACGCCACCTGAGCCAGCACAGCCAGGAGGTGCTGCTGTGCCCAAGGGCCCACAGGCTCTGCATTCGGAACAGGAAGAGAACGGCACAGCCCTCATCCCGGGACAGCTCCAGAGGAGACGGGTCTTTAACAAATCAAGTCAAGGTGGTGTATGCACACCACGGAGTTCTACTCAGCCACAAAAAACAATGGTGATCCAGCACCTCTTGCATTATCCTCGGTGGAGGTGGAACCCGTTCTTCTAAATGTACTATCACAAGAATGGAAAAACAAGCACCACATGTACTCACCATCAAATTAGTATTAACTGATCGACACTCAAGTGCACATATAGTAACAACATTCATCAGGTGTTGGGCAGGTGGGAGGGGGA